ACAGCAGAATAGTGACTGTTTTGTCTGGGAGCGCTGGTCCACTGCCCCAGTCTTAACACTGGACACTGCCCAGTCCAGTGGAAACTCGACTCTAGACCTCCATGAAACCTTGAGTCATTGGAAAATGTAAAGGCAGCAGTGGACACGCAGAGAAAGAGCAATCTGATTCATCACTGAGGTTTTTATCACTGTTTTAGTTCCTGTCTGAAGCAGGAGCGTCTAAGGACAGTGATGATGATCCAGGACACTTAACGACGTATATGAAATGTGTAAACATTTATGGACTGTGGTCTCTGCCCCCAGGGACCAAGGGCTCTATGTGTTTTTATCATTGCTTTTCCTGTGTTTGAACTGTCGTACAGGGATCAGACCTAGTCTGGGGGGAAGGAGCCTGATCTCATGGAGGTGGTTTAATGATACCCAACTCTTTGAGAAGGGTTGGACACTTCACTATTCTAGGGTTTCTTGTGGGGAGAGGTGGTGAGCGGGGATGGCCATACCCTAGGAGGGGCACTGGACACTGCACTGACCAGTCACTAGGCACCTGGACCAGAGGCCAGAGGTCGGTCAGTAACTTTGTTTTCAGTTCATCCAACCTTCCGCCGTGTGTCCAGGACACTCGGGGGAAGAGAGGGTCAGAGCTGTGGCTGCCCCAGCCACCATGCTGCCCCAGGTGGTGAGAAGCAAGAAGCAGGACCTCCTTGCTTCTCAGCTGATGCAGTAGTTCATAGCTGTTATCGCAAGGTCTCTGGTGGAGGACAGCATGAGTAAGGGTTAGTCAGGGTGAAGAAGTCTGGTCTTGTCCAAGAGTGAGGGAAATGAAAGGCCTTGTACTCATGGAGGTCATAGGCTGTGAATAGGCAATGCTAGCCAGCTAGCTCCAACGCTGCATGCACATCATCATATTTAGCATCACAGACACCATGCCATTTTCATTGTGGTTCTTGTCAACAGTGATGAAAATGTTTTATTGTCTGTAAATGTTTGCCAAAAGGCTGCTGGGACAAAGCATTTGTCCTTTTTGCTCCTGCATTTTGGCTCAATCAGCCTTTAACCTGATGCAGGAGACAAACAAGGAATTGGTGATAGTGTGCAGGAACCAGGTACAGAATGTACTCACACAAGACAAATAATAATCAGAAAATTGTCAACAGGTAAGATCTTAGGGCTTGAGGGCAGATGAAGAGTATTTGGGTCGGATATGGGCGGTGCTACCACTTTAAATGTGTGTGTCTAAACAAGAGTTAGCCTGAAGAGACCGACAAATCCCATTTCGCAGAGAGTGTAGAGAGATCGCAGACGCTCTGAGTCCACAATGGATAGACTCATTTGTGTTTGTTTTTTTCACGTATTTGAAAGGGACAATGCAGTCATTCATGATGTCTGCTTGTTGTGACTCTATGATGTCTGCTTGTTGTGACTCTATGATGTCTGCTTGTTGTGACTCTATGATGTCTGCTTGTTGTGACTCTATGATGTCTGCTTGTTGTGACTCTATGATGTCTGCTTGTTGTGACTCTATGATGTCTGCTTGTTGTGACTCTATGATGTCTGCTTGTTGTGACTCTATGATGTTTGCTTGTTGTGACTCTATGATGTTTGCTTGTTGTGACTCTATGATGTCTGCTTGTTGTGACTCTATGATGTCTGCTTGTTGTGACTCTATGATGTCTGCTTGTTGTGACTCTATGATGTCTGCTTGTTGTGACTCTATGATGTCTGCTTGTTGTGACTCTATGATGTCTGCTTGTTGTGACTCTATGATGTCTGCTTGTTGTGACTCTATGATGTCTGCTTGTTGTGACTCTATGATGTCTGCTTGTTGTGACTCTATGATGTCTACTTGTTGTGACTCTATGATGTCTGCTTGTTGTGACTATGACGTCTACTTGTTGTGACTCTATGATGTCTGCTTGTTGTGACTCTATGATGTCTGCTTGTTGTGACTCTATGATGTCTGCTTGTTGTGACTATGACGTCTACTTGTTGTGACTCTATGATGTCTGCTTGTTGTGACTCTATGATGCCTGCTTGTTGTGACTCTATGATGTCTACTTGTTGTGACTCTATGATGTCTGCTTGTTGTGACTATGATGTCTGCTTGTTGTGACTCTATGATGTCTGCTTGTTGTGACTCTATGATGTCTGCTTGTAGTGACTCTATGATGTCTGCTTGTTATGACTCTATGATGTCTGCTTGTTGTGACTCTATGAAGTCTTTTTGTTGTGACTCTATGATGTCTGGTTGTGGTGACTCTATGATGTCTGCTTGTGGTGACTCTATGATGTCTGCTTGTTGTGACTCTATGATGTCTGCTTGTTGTGACTCTATGATGTCTGCTTGTTGTGACTCTATGATGTCTGCTTGTTGTGACTCTATGATGTCTGCTTGTTGTGACTCTATGATGTCTGCTTATTGTGACTCTATGATGTCTGCTTGTTGTGACTATGATGTCTGCTTGTTGTGACTCTATGATGTCTGCTTGTTGTGACTATGATGTCTGCTTGTTGTGACTCTATGATGTCTGCTTGTTATGACTCTATGATGTCTGCTTGTTGTGACTCTATGATGTCTTTTTGTTGTGACTCTATGATGTCTGGTTGTGGTGACTCTATGATGTCTGCTTGTGGTGACTCTATGATGTCTGCTTGTTGTGACTATGATGTCTGCTTGTTGTGACTCTATGATGCCTGCTTGTTGTGACTATGACGTCTACTTGTTGTGACTCTATGATGTCTGCTTGTTGTGACTATGATGTCTGCTTGTTGTGACTCTATGATGTCTGCTTGTTGTGACTATGATGTCTGCTTGTTGTGACTCTATGATGTCTACTTGTTGTGACTCTATGATGTCTGCTTGTTGTGACTATGATGTCTGCTTGTTGTGACTCTATGATGTCTGCTTGTTGTGACTCTATGATGTCTGCTTGTTGTGACTCTATGATGTCTGCTTGTTATGACTCTATGATGTCTGCTTGTTGTGACTCTATGATGTCTTTTTGTTGTGACTCTATGATGTCTGGTTGTGGTGACTCTATGATGTCTGCTTGTTGTGACTCTATGATGTCTGCTTGTTGTGACTCTATGATGTCTGCTTGTTGTGACTCTATGATGTCTGCTTGTTGTGACTCTATGATGTCTGCTTGTTGTGACTCTATGATGTCTGCTTGTTGTGACTCTATGATGTCTGCTTATTGTGACTCTATGATGTCTGCTTGTTGTGACTATGATGTCTGCTTATTGTGACTCTATGATGTCTGCTTGTTGTGACTATGATGTCTGCTTGTTGTGACTCTATGATGTCTGCTTGTTGTGACTATGATGTCTGCTTGTTGTGACTCTATGATGTCTGCTTGTTGTGACTCTATGATGTCTGCTTGTTGTGACTCTATGATGCCTGCTTGTTGTGACTATGACGTCTACTTGTTGTGACTCTATGATGTCTGCTTGTTGTGACTATGATGTCTGCTTGTTGTGACTCTATGATGTCTGCTTGTTGTGACTATGATGTCTGCTTGTTGTGACTCTATGATGTCTGCTTGTTGTGACTATGATGTCTGCTTGTTGTGACTCTATGATGTCTGCTTGTTGTGACTATGATGTCTGCTTGTTGTGACTCTATGATGTCTGCTTGTTGTGACTATGATGTCTGCTTGTTGTGACTCTATGATGTCTGCTTGTTGTGACTATGATGTCTGCTTGTTGTGACTCTATGATGTCTGCTTGTTGTGACTATGATGTCTGCTTGTTGTGACTCTATGATGTCTGCTTGTTGTGACTCTATGATGTCTGCTTGTTGTGACTCTATGATGCCTGCTTGTTGTGACTATGACGTCTACTTGTTGTGACTCTATGATGTCTGCTTGTTGTGACTATGATGTCTGCTTGTTGTGACTCTATGACGTCTACTTGTTGTGACTCTATGATGTCTTTTTGTTGTGACTCTATGATGTCTGCTTGTTGTGACTATGATGTCTGCTTGTTGTGACTCTATGATGTCTGCTTGTTGTGACTCTATGATGTCTGCTTGTTGTGACTCTATGATGTCTGCTTGTTGTGACTCTATGATGTCTTTTTGTTGTGACTCTATGATGTCTGGTTGTGGTGACTCTATGATGTCTCCTTGTTGTGACTCTATGATGTCTGGTTGTGGTGACTCTATGATGTCTCCTTGTTGTGACTCTATGATGTCTGGTTGTGGTGACTCTATGATGTCTGGTTGTGGTGACTCTATGATGTCTGCTTGTGGTGACTCTAGTCTGTCGTATGTGGATATTATTTTCCCATTGTTGACCCATCTTGAGCACTCTGCTGTTTGGAAATTAGAGTTTTCCAGCCCATTACATCTCACATTTGTCTAACCACTCCCTCCCACACACAGTTTTACCAGCTTATTCTTGTAAACCTCAGACCAATAAACAATTGTTGCCCACTTACACTCCACCATAAGTCTCGGCCCCGGTGGTCTGTGCATTCTCTGAGCACAACACAACACACAAGTCAGGATTTACCATTAACACTGGTTTTGGACTGGGAAAGAAAAAAGTATAGTGTCGAGAGTTGTAAGTGTGTTTGTGGGTGGGGGGGGGGGGGGGGGTTCTTTCTTTAAAAGAATTAAAGAAAAAATCCCTCAGTTTTTAACCTGGATTTGAACATTGTCCGAGAAGAAGCCTATCTCACGTTTTCAGGAAGACAGTTCCAGATTTTAGCTGCATAAATCTGAAATGATGCCTCCTCATGTTTAGTCCTGACTCTGGGTCCAGCAGGAGGTCAGTCCCTGTGCTCCTCAGAGTCCCAGCAGGAGGCTAGTCCCCAGTTTTTCTGTGTGTTTAAAATAAATTAATACATCAAATTAAGTTCACTTTTTGTCATATCTAACAACCTAATCATAAATTCGAATAAGCACAAAGCTACAACACAATCTATTTTTTCAATTACGACTTCTGATATCCTCCAAAACCTCTCAGTTTAACCTTATACTGGCCAGAACCCAGCCCAGCATGGCTCGGCACGGTTCGCTCTGGCTCTGTTCCCATCCGGAGAGGAGAATCACCCCGAGAGAATCCCCACCAGCTGAGATCGAGGGGGCAGAACGCGTGGCTAGTGCGAGTCGCGTCAAAAGGGGGCCGAGTCCTGCGAAACCCGACCCTCCAGGGCCCTTTAAAGCAAAAAGAAAAAACTATGGGACGAGTCTGCTGAACGGAGACAAATCCAAATCCAACCCGGGGAAGGAGAGCATAGAAAGCCCCTCTCTGGTCTCTCTGGCAGCGGTGGAAGAAGCCGCTTGTGTCGAATGCAATGAATGGAAGCGCGCGTAAAGAAGCAAGTTGCAAAGAGAGAGAAAGAAAGAAGTTATTATGAGAGGTGGATGTAGCAGTTCAGTCGACGTGGGAGCACGGAGAGAGGGATAAAAGACAGAAGAACAGAACGAGAAGACAGCGTGCTCACAAGGTAAACCAAGCGAGAGCTGGTCTGAGCCAAGTTTGGGATTGGAGTTTTAACTTTTACGCAGCGCAAAGTAGATCCCAAAAGAATCCCCCGCTGCATTTGTAACGACTTCTCCTCTTGTTTCTGCTGACTGGTGTGTTGTTGAATGACCACTGTGCTTTTGGGACCAGCACACCTGTTCCTCGTAGTCCTTTTTCGGGTTAAAGTCTCCCCCATGAGTCGCTATCACAATATATAACCAGTGGATTTAACGCTCCGGCGAAGGCTTTTATACAGTTTCCTCCATTAAAAGTAAGGTGTTTGGGGGTTTATGTCCGCCTGTGGCTTAGACTTCACACCGGCTGCTGTAAAAGGTTTTAAAACTCTAATATATTTCAACGAGAGAATCTGGGGGAATGGTTGAAGAGGTTCATAAATCAGCTTTTGACCCAACGCGGCAGTAAGTGAAGCGTATAGGGGGATGTGAGAGTCTAAACCAGCCATGTCCAAACTGAGAACATAAGACTTCTGCCATATTCGATTTGATATGTATTTCATTTTGGGGAATTGTACATAACTGTAGTACTACGTTGATTGAATGATAATAAGTTATGTTGTTGTCATTTCTTAAAACGTGATTATAAACTTGTTAGGACCACGTTCAATCCGATGCATTTGTTTTGTTGCTATATTTATATGTGGCTCATTCAGAAGAGAGAGAGAGAGAAAGAGACCAGAGAGAGACCAGAGAGAGACCAGAGAGAGACCAGAGAGAGACCAGAGAAAGAAAGACCAGAGAGAGAAAGAAAGGGACCAGAGAGAGAGAGGAAAAAAAAGAGACCAGAGAGGGAGAGACCAGAGAGAGGGATCTGACAGACAGAGAGAGACTGGAGAGAGAGAGGGGGAGGGATCAGAGAGAGAGAGAAAGAGAGAGAGAGCAGCAACAGCAACAGAATGGATTTTCCCCTCCACTTCTATTAAATATAAATCAAAATGCTCATATAATGTCATTATAAAGCTCAGAACCAGAGAGAGTCCAGTTAAAACAGTTTAAAGTCTTGGTTGTCGGTTCCTGGACACGTCTGTGAACTAAACAGTGAATAATCTACTTTGTTGCACTTTGGTCTTGTGTTTTAAACTTGGGTCTGGTTAGAAATGTTTAGATCTGTTAGTGTCAGAGATGTAGTCCTTGAATCAATCCTTTAATAAACTAAAGTGTGGGGTTTTTATCTTTAGTTATAGAAACTAAATTCCATTATTGCAACATATCATTTATCATTGATCTTTATTCCCAGATAGTAAATGTTGTTCGTAGTGTCGGAAAGAGGATTGAAGTTTGAACATAATGTGTATTCTCCGCTTTTTGAACGCACTCAGTGAAATCTTTACTCCTTTGGTCAACATTTGTTTTATTGTTGTTATTTTTCCACAATAATTGTGAATAGCGTTATCATTCATAATATCTGGAATGTGGCCAGATGATCAACATTTTGGTCTGGACTTATACACTTTCAAATCAAAACTGCAGAAAATACTTTACATAATACATTTTCCTCATGTGTTTTAGGTCAGAAGTCTTGTTTTGATCACCTGCCCAGTCAGATGTCTTGGGAACTGCAGGTTTTGGTCCCAGTGCGACAAGTTTTATGTGGATCAGGAGAAAGATGTGAAAAGCAGGTGTTTGGTGAAAAATAGGAGCGGAACAATGGAGAAAAGTTCTACTTGAATCTCAGGGTTTTCCCAAGTAGGCTGTTGAACCACAACAGCCACTTCATCACTACACATGTACGAGGGAGAAGCGTCTGCAGTTCAAGCTCTCATTCCACGTTTCCACCCTCATCTATGGTCATTTATAAAATTTCAATCTGGAAAGAGTCGAGACAAAGATTGCATTAGAATATGTTTACCTTATTTTCAAGATGAAATAAACCCAGCGGACGCATTGATTGAGTAATAATATATTTATTGATTTTGAACATGAAATATTCATTAAAGGTATATAGGAGGATGTTCTTCTTCCGGGTTGATCATCAAGACTATTGGTCCTCCTAACTGTCAGTCATTCTGGTCATATCTGAAACTTGGTGACTGGCTACTTAAGCATCAATTTCTACTTGACTGTTTGAAATATTTCTGGTAAAAAATTATCTACTTCTGACACAATGGAAAAAGGCTAATCTTCTTGGAAAGTGAGTGTGTCTTGTGCGTGAGGAGGGGGGTTGCTGCTTGAACCGCAGCTTGATGCCATAGAGAACTGAGAGGCAAATGCATGAAGTGATGAGAGCCTAGGTGTGAGACAGGTGTGTTACTGAGGAGGAGGCAGTGCAGAGGAGGAGTCAGTGCAGAGGAGGAGGCAGTGCAGTGGAGGAGGCAGTGCAGAGGAGGAGTCAGTGCAGAGGAGGAGTCAGTGCAGAGGAGGAGGCAGTGCAGAGGAGGAGTCAGTGCAGAGGAGGAGTCAGTGCAGAGGAGGAGTCAGTGCAGAGGAGGAGTCAGTGTAGTGGAGGAGTCAGTGCAGAGGAGGAGTCAGTGCAGAGGAGGAGGCAGTGCGGAGGAGGCAGTGCAGAGGAGGAGGCAGTGCAGAGGAGGAGGCAGTGCGGAGGAGGAGTTAGTGCAGAGGAGGAGTCAGTGCGGAGGAGGAGTCAGTGCGGAGGAGGAGGCAGTGCGGAGGAGGCAGTGCGGAGGAGGAGTCAGTGCGGAGGAGTTAGTGCAGAGGAGGAGTCAGTGCAGAAGAGGAGGCAGTGCGGAGGAGGCAGTGCAGAGGAGGAGTCAGTGCAGAGGAGGCAGTGCAGAGGAGGAGGCAGTGCAGAGGAGGAGTCAGTGCAGAGAGGAGGAGTCAGTGCAGAGGAGGAGTCAGTGCAGAGGAGGAGGCAGTGCGGAGGAGGCAGTGCAGAGGAGGAGGCAGTGCAGAGGAGGAGGCAGTGCAGAGGAGGAGGCAGTGCGGAGGAGGCAGTGCAGAGGAGGAGTCAGTGCGGAGGAGTTAGTGCAGAGGAGGAGTCAGTGCAGAAGAGGAGGCAGTGCGGAGGAGGCAGTGCAGAGGAGGAGTCAGTGCGGAGGAGGCAGTGCAGAGGAGGAGGCCGTGCAGAGGAGGGGTCAGTGCAGAGGAGGAGTCAGTGCAGAGGAGGAGTCAGTGCAGAGGAGGAGGCAGTGCGGAGGAGGCAGTGCAGAGGAGGAGGCAGTGCAGAGGAGGAGGCAGTGCGGAGGAGGAGGCAGTGCGGAGGAGGAGTCAGTGCAGAGGAGGAGTCAGTGCAGAGGAGGAGTCAGTGCAGAGGAGGAGTCAGTGCGGAGGAGGAGGCAGTGCAGAGGAGGAGGCAGTGCGGAGGAGGCAGTGCAGCGGAGGAGGCAGTGCAGAGGAGGAGGCAGTGCGGAGGAGGAGGCAGTGCGGAGGAGGAGTCAGTGCAGAGGAGGAGTCAGTGCAGAGGAGGAGTTAGTGTAGAGGAGGAGTCAGTGCAGAGGAGGAGGCAGTGCAGAGGAGGAGGCAGTGCAGAGGAGGAGGCAGTGCAGAGGAGGAGTCAGTGCAGAGGAGGAGTCAGTGCAGAGGAGGAGGCAGTGCAGAGGAGGAGTCAGTGCAGAGGAGGAGTCAGTGCAGAGGAGGAGTCAGTGCAGAGGAGGAGGCAGTGCAGAGGAGGAGTCAGTGCGGAGGAGGCAGTGCAGAGGAGGAGTCAGTGCGGAGGAGTTAGTGCAGAGGAGGAGTCAGTGCAGAAGAGGAGGCAGTGCGGAGGAGGCAGTGCAGAGGAGGAGTCAGTGCGGAGGAGGCAGTGCAGAGGAGGAGTCAGTGCGGAGGAGGAGGCAGTGCGGAGGAGGCAGTGCGGAGGAGGAGTCAGTGCGGAGGAGTTAGTGCAGAGGAGGAGTCAGTGCAGAAGAGGAGGCAGTGCGGAGGAGGCAGTGCAGAGGAGGAGTCAGTGCAGAGGAGGCAGTGCAGAGGAGGAGGCAGTGCAGAGGAGGAGTCAGTGCAGAGGAGGAGTCAGTGCAGAGGAGGAGTCAGTGCAGAGGAGGAGGCAGTGCGGAGGAGGCAGTGCAGAGGAGGAGGCAGTGCAGAGGAGGAGGCAGTGCGGAGGAGGAGGCAGTGCGGAGGAGGAGGCAGTGCGGAGGAGGCAGTGCAGAGGAGGAGTCAGTGCGGAGGAGTTAGTGCAGAGGAGGAGTCAGTGCAGAAGAGGAGGCAGTGCGGAGGAGGCAGTGCAGAGGAGGAGTCAGTGCGGAGGAGGCAGTGCAGAGGAGGAGGCCGTGCAGAGGAGGGGTCAGTGCAGAGGAGGAGTCAGTGCAGAGGAGGAGTCAGTGCTGAGGAGGAGGCAGTGCGGAGGAGGCAGTGCAGAGGAGGAGGCAGTGCAGAGGAGGAGGCAGTGCGGAGGAGGAGGCAGTGCGGAGGAGGAGTCAGTGCAGAGGAGGAGTCAGTGCAGAGGAGGAGTCAGTGCAGAGGAGGAGTCAGTGCGGAGGAGGAGGCAGTGCAGAGGAGGAGGCAGTGCGGAGGAGGCAGTGCAGAGGAGGAGTCAGTGCAGAGGAGGAGGCAGTGCGGAGGAGGAGGCAGTGCGGAGGAGGAGTCAGTGCAGAGGAGGAGTCAGTGCAGAGGAGGAGTTAGTGTAGAGGAGGAGTCAGTGCAGAGGAGGAGGCAGTGCAGAGGAGGAGGCAGTGCAGAGGAGGAGGAAGTGCAGAGGAGGAGTCAGTGCAGAGGAGGAGTCAGTGCAGAGGAGGAGGCAGTGCAGAGGAGGAGTCAGTGCAGAGGAGGAGTCAGTGCAGAGGAGGAGGCAGTGCAGAGGAGGAGGCAGTGCAGAGGAGGAGTCAGTGCAGAGGAGGAGTCAGTGCAGAGGAGGAAGCAGTGCAGAGGAGGAGGCAGTGCAGAGGAGGAGTCAGTGCGGAGGAGGAGGCAGTGCAGAGGAGGAGGCAGTGCAGAGGAGGAGTCAGTGCAGTGGAGGAGGCAGTGCAGAGGAGGAGGCAGTACAGAGGAGGAGTCAGTGCAGCGGAGGAGGCAGTGCAGAGGAGGAGTCAGTGCAGAGGAGGAGGCAGTGCAGAGGAGGAGGCAGTGCAGAGGAGGAGGCAGTGCAGAGGAGGAGTCAGTGCAGAGGAGGAGTCAGTGCAGAGGAGGAGTCAGTGCAGAGGATGAGGCAGTGCGGAGGAGGAGGCAGTGCAGAGGAGGAGTCAGTGCGGAGGAGGCAGTGCAGAGGAGGAGGCAGTGCAGAGGAGGAGGCAGTGCAGAGGAGGAGTCAGTGCAGAGGAGGAGTCAGTGCAGAGGAGGAGGCAGTGCAGAGGAGGAGTCAGTGCAGAGGAGGAGTCAGTGCAGAGGAGGAGTCAGTGCAGAGGAGGAGTCAGTGCAGAGGAGGAGGCAGTGCAGAGGAGGAGGCAGTGCAGAGGAGGAGTCAGTGCAGTGGAGGAGGCAGTGCAGAGGAGGAGGCAGTGCAGAGGAGGAGGCAGTGTAGAGGAGGAGGCAGTGCAGAGGAGGAGTCAGTGCAGTGGAGGAGGCAGTGCTGAGGAGGAGTCAGTGCAGAGGAGGAGGCAGTGCAGAGGAGGAGTCAGTGCAGAGGAGGAGGCAGTGCAGAGGAGGAGGCAGTGCGGAGGAGGAGTTAGTGCAGAGGAGGAGTCAGTGCAGAGGAGGAGTCAGTGCAGTGGAGGAGGCAGTGCAGAGGAGGAGTCAGTGCAGAGGAGGAGGCAGTGCAGAGGAGGAGTCAGTGCAGAGGAGGAGGCAGTGCAGAGGAGGAGTCAGTGCAGTGGAGGAGTCAGTGCAGTGGAGGAGTCAGTGCAGAGGAGGAGGCAGTGCAGAGGAGGAGTAGCGGCATCCTATGTTCTTGTTAAGTGTCTTGCCCAACGACATTAGTGGGAGCTCAAACCCACAACCTTCAGGCTCAAAAGCCAATGTTCTACCAACTGAGCCATTGTAAATCACTTTGGGTGACACTGGTCTATAAAAATGCGCTTCATAAATAAAGATGACTTACTACTGCTGTCCTCTTCCTCTCCTCCTCCTCTTCGTCCATCTGACCTGTGTGTGTCAGTCCTCCACAGTGACCTCCCACATTCCTGAGGCGAGGAGGAAAACCCAGAGGGAACCACCTCAGGTTTCAGAAAGACTATCCTCAGACACAGAGAGAGGGCTGCCAAGAAGGTGCAGGGCCTCTCTACTTTTCACTCAGAGTCCGTTCAATAGAGCCATAGTGACGTCAGGATGCCCCAGGGCAGCTGAGGCGGCACAGACCTAATAGTATGTGACTGTACAAAGACATAAACAGTGATTGTTACTTGAGACATTTCTTTTTAAAAATGGGTCTTTCTCTGCCCCACTCTCTCTCTCTCTCTGTTTTTCTCTCTCTCTCTCTGTCTCTCTCTCTGTTTTTCTCTCTCTCTCTCTCTCTATCTCTGTTTCTCTCTCTGTCTCTCTCTCTGTCTCTCTCTCTCTCTCTCTGTCTCTCTCTCTGTTTCTCTCTCTGTCTCTCTCGCTCTCTCTCTCTCTCTGTGTTTCTCTCGCTCTCTCGCTCTGTCTCTCTCTTTCTCTCTCACACCCTCTCTGTTTCTCTCTCTGTCTCTCTCGCTCTCTCTCTTTCTCTCTCTGTCTCTCTCGCTCTCTCTCTCTCTCTCTGTCTCTCTCTCTGGCTCTGTCTCTGTCTCTCTCTCTCTCTTGCACTCTCTTTCTCTCTATGTCTCTCTCGCTCTCTCTCTTTCTCTCTCGCTCTCTCTCTTTCTCTCTCTGTCTCTCTCGCTCTGTCTCTCTCTCTCTCTCTCTCTCTCTCTCGCTTTCTTTCTCTCTCTCTGTCTCTCTCGCTCTCTCTCTCTTTCTGTGTTTCTCTCGCTCTCTCGCTCTGTCTCTCTCTTTCTCTCTCACACTCTCTCTGTTTCTCTCTCTGTCTCTCTCGCTCTCTCTCTTTCTCTCTCTGTCTCTCTCGCTCTCTCTCTCTCTCTCTGTCTCTCTCTCTGGCTCTGTCTCTGTCTCTCTCTCTCTCTCGCACTCTCTTTCTCTCTATGTCTCTCTCGCTCTCTCTCTTTCTCTCTCGCTCTCTCTCTTTCTCTCTCTGTCTCTCTCGCTCTGTCTCTCTCTCTCTCTCTCTCTCGCTTTCTTTCTCTCTCTCTGTCTCTGGCTCTCTCTCTGTCTCTCTCTCTGCCTCTGTCTCTGTCTCTCTCTCTTTCTCTGTCTCTGTCTCTCTCTGTCTCTCTCTCTCTCTCAGACGTCAGAGCGAGCAGCTGTTTCTCTATCGGTCCTGTTTAAGTGAAGACGTGTCCACTGCCTCCTGCTTCCAATCTGAGAGACGAGGGAGGAAGGGAGGGGGGGGGGGTGGAGGGGGGGGGGGGGGGGGGGGGGGGGGGGGGGGGGGGGGGGGGGGGGGGGGGGGGGGGGGGGGGGGGGGGGGGGGGGGGGGGGGGGGGGGGTGATTGGAAAGCGACAGAAAAATCAGACAGAGAAAATCATTTTTGTGTAATCTTTCTTAAATGTCCACAATTCCAAATGACAAAACCATATCCAGCCCCAAATGCATCAGTTATTGAATTCTGTACATGTTTGATATCACTTAGAGAAACTTTCCAAGCAAAACAATTTCAATTTCTGAATTCGTGATTCTTGCATTTTCCCCCCATGTTTGGGTGGGTTTCCTCCAAGCGCTCCGGTTTCTCCCAACACCCAAAACATGCACTTAAAGGTTTATTCTCACAAATCCTGGGTCGCCTCTTTCTTACTTACGGAGCAACACGGTCTGGTGCGGAAGAACAACTCTGCATTTGACAGTGACCAGAGAGAGAGACCAGAGAGAGACAAGAGAGAGAGACAAGAGAGAGAGAGACAAGAGAGAAAGACAAGAGAGAGAGACAAGAGAGAGAGACAAGAGAGAGAGACCAAAGAGAGACCAAAAAGAGAGACCAGAGAGAGAGAGACCAAAGAGAGGCACGAGAGAGAGAGCTGTCTGTTCTGGAGGTTCTTTATGAATCCAGCTCTTAGAATAATCAATGACTCTTCTGGTCCCTGGAAAAGCCATGTTCCAGCTTCTTCCCTCTGGCAGAAGATATAGTTGCCTGCAGGACATCTGGATATGCTAACATGCTAACAGCTTCTTTCAGCTGTTATCAGTCTGAACATAGCACTTTAATGACCTTGTATTGAAGCTGTTTTTGTTTGATTGGTTTCACACTGAGGATTGTTTCTTCTACTTTTTTAGCTTGTTTTATTCATGGAACTGTCAGAAAGACACTGTGGACTTTTACACATGTATTCTATTATGGTTTTAATGCTCTACGTGGATTACAAGCTTGTCTTAGTCCATTAGAATGCAATTCCCTGGGGTTCTGTTTGCGCTGTGGAGTGACTCTGCAACCTCTCCCACTTCTGTCCCAGGTCAAGACGACATTTCATCACGGTTTGAAAGCAGACAAAACGCACATTATGTTTTAGCCATAGTTGAAATCACAAATGACAACCCTGATGAACGGCACAGGCCTAAATTGGAGAGGACAGAGAGAAACATCTGGGCTCAATGTGTGAGTGAGTTATGGCCCATGAGGCGTGAGGAGGGTGTGAGTCCAGACCCGAGGACCTGTTTAGGGCAAAACTGCTGCTGCTGGGGCCCTTAGACTTCTAGCAGTTTATTACAGAGAGCTGTGAAAGATGTGGAAGATGCATAAACAAATGGAATGGCAGAAGAGATCCTCCCAATGCTGTTTTAAAGCCGTGAATAAGGCATTGTGGCATTACTACGGCACCCAAAACGCCCAAAAGTAATTTTAACTCATTGACTGTATTTGTCTGAGACTGGTGATTGGTGATTTCTGTCAAACTTCCCTCTTTTGGGCTGGGGATTACAGGAGAACAAAACTAGCTAGAAACCAACGTATTTTTGCTGATAAAAGTAGACGGTTCAGTCTTTCAGAATATGGTTTGATATTTCACATAGTCATTGCACACAATATTCCGTGGGTCTTGAACGTCAGTGAAATCGTTCAAATAGGCTGGTAGTCAATGAGTTAAGTAGTGCTAATACTCGGGATTCCATGTATTTTTGTATCGCTCTCAATTAGGGCTGCACGATATTGGAAATTGTAGCGATATTCGACATGAGTGTTTAGTATTTCGATACGATATTATTGCGATATATTTGTCTTTCAACTAAAATTACAATCTGCATTGAAACGCAAGAGACAAATAACAAAAAATAAGCACAACATTAATGACATTCAAAACCATATATTTATATACTTTTTTGTTTGTTTGTTTATTGTTCTTGTTGAATGTTGATGTGTCTGTCTGTTTTGTTGTCTTTTAAAAGGAAAAAAATAAGAAAAATTATTTATAGCACATCTTTTCGATACGGATATTGCGCGCACCAATATCGCGATAACAATATTTTTTCAATGTATCGTGCAGCCCTACTCTCAATCACAACAGTAGTTATCATAGGGGACTTCACAAAGACGATTTTCCAATTTTTCGTTGTTTTCAGAGATTTGAACGGTTCAAACACAGGAAATGTAAAAACATATAGAGTAGTAAGTAATTTTTATTTATATACTGCCTTTCACTGACCAGAGTCACAAAGCAGTTTACAATTTTTATTTTTTGGGCATTTGTCCTCTCACTCCACACTGAGATGGGAGCGGGGTCTCCAGACAGGAGGCGCATGCCAGACACCTATTATTGTACATGTTTTTAGTGGTAGGGGAAACCAGAGTACCTGGAGGAAACCTACGCAGACACGGGGAGAACATGCAAACTCCACTCAGAATTGCCCTGGTCTGACCAGGATTCGAACCCAGGACATTCTTGCTGAGAGGCGAGAGTGCTATCCACTCAGCCAACGTTCCGCCCATATAGAGCAATTGGTCCATAAGGGACATATAGCCACTGTTCAGATAGATATAGACTTTATTGAACCCCCGTCGGAGAAATTCAGGATTCAGGTTCATAAATGCCGTTGAATGCATCACAAAGTTTCCCGGCTATCGACCCAGTACAAAGTAAGTATGTCAAACAAAGCCTGTATATCCTACATGACAAGCTGCCTTTGAAAGTCCATTATATAATTGGACGGTAGCGTTTCCTCGTTCTCCTCTGGTTTTCTCTATGGCAGACAGCTTTAACCACGAACCAGGATCACGTCTCGTCTGAACAAACTGTAGAACCGTCAGAAGTGTCAGTGCGAACCGCAGTTTGCAACTTCAGAACTGTTGCTGATCCCTTTTGGCTGCGTTTCCATCCTCTGTCCGTCCATGTTTGCTCCGGCTGCTGCCTCCTCTCAGCTCCTGGAAGGAAGGGGAAGATTCGAGACCTGAGTCTGCGAGTTTTTACACCAACGCTGAAGAAGGAAGAGATGATAAATGTCTTGGAGCAGGGATCTACAATGTGTGGCCTTGAGGATAAATGGGGACCAGATTTTTGTCGACCTTCCAAGCTTGAATTTACCCAGGAGCTAGTAGCTTTTACTTAAACAGTTTGTCTGCTGTGGCCGTCATTTTAACTGCCATAACTCTCTCTACACTGTTATTTTAGACAGATTTAGATTATTATATTTCAATCTGTGTTCCAACCCTCATTGGCTCAGTCCTCGTTCTACAGCCTGAGTCCTGGATCTATTTCCAGCGTGTCCTCCACATGGTTTCTCACCTTTTTCTCACTGGGTTATTGAGTTTTTCCTTGCCGAAGCAGGTGGATCCTAGGACAAAGATTATCCTGGACGTTTAAGGATATTTAAGGACATTGGTCATCGTGATCCCTATGAACCAATGGCTCCTGTGTGTTCTTATTCTGGTCAATGCACGTCTCAAACATTCAGGACCAGAGACCAGACCATACTAAAGACTGGACCAGAGACCAAGCCAAAGATCAGACTAAAGACAAGGCAAGAGACCAGACCAGAGAGCGCACTGGAGGCCAAATCAGAGACTGGACCAAAGACTGGACCAAAGATTGGGCTAAAGACAGGACCAGAGACCTGACTTGAGACCACACCGAAGAGTGGACCAGAGACCACCCCAGAGACAACAGGGGACCAGACAAGTGACCAAACCAGAGACTGGACTAAATACTAAACCATTTATCAGAGACCAGAATGAAGACTGGACTAAAGACTGGACCCAAATCCCGTCTCTAACATCCAGGTTGCATCATGTTGGCTCCTGACGCTGCTCTGTGAGGAGGTGCTGATGTGAGGACTGAGATCTGAGTCCTGCTTGTACCTCTCTGTGTGTCCTGCCCATGTAGACGCTGCCTCAGACCAGGATTCACTCACCATTTTGGGGCCGGAGCTCAGCAGCTGTGGGTGGCCTATAGAGCTTCCAAACAAGGATCTGTTCAGTTTGTTTTTGTTGTCTCCGCAGTCTCCTGCTCTGACATTCACTAAAAGAGAGAGAAAAATCAGGGAGAATTATAAATGGTAGGATTTAACATGATTTACTGTGTTTTAACATTTAAACCTACATTACCCTGCCATTTTACTCTATAGAAGTCGTTTGTTGATATTGTTTGGTGGATAGTTTGGTTGTGTGAGGTAAGGTAGTCCAGTGTTGTTTTATTTTTGAGAAAATGAAGGTGTCCAGCAGCTAAAAGTCCCGAACTCCCTCATTTGTCAGACTGCTCTAAGGTACTCCGCTTTGAAAGAGGACTGTGGGAGAGAGACCAGAGAGAGACCAGAGAGAGACCAGGGAGAGACTAGAGAGAGACTAGAGAGGGACCAGAGAGAGACAAGAAAGAGATCAGAGAGACTAGAGAGAGATCAGAGAGAGCCCAGAGAGAGAGACCAGAGAGAGACCAGAGAGAGAGACCAGAGAGCGACCAGAGAGAGAGACCAGAGAGAGACCAGAGAGAGAGACCAGAGAGAGACCAGAGAGGGACCAGAGAGAGAGACCAGAGAGAGAGACCAAAGAGAGACCAGAGAAAGAGACCCGAGAGAGACCAGAGAGAGACCAGAGAGAGACTAGAGAGAGACTAGAGAGAGACTAGAGAGAGACTAGAGAGAGACTAGAGAGAGACTAGAGAGAGACTAGAGAGAGACCAGAGAGAGACCAGAGAGAGACCAGAGAAAGACCAGAGAAAGACCAGAAAGAGACCAGAGAGGGACCAGAGAGGGACCAGAGAGAGACCAGAAAGAGATCAGAGAGAGACCAGAGAGAGACCAGAGAAAGACCAGCGAGAGACCAGAGAGAGGCTTTCAGCTGCCTGGTGCACACTGGGGACTCTTGCACATGTATTCTATTGTGGCCAGAGAGAGACCAGAGAGGGACCAGAAAGAGATCAGAGAGAGATGGTAAAGTGGTAATACTGCAAATAGACTTAAAAACTGAATCTGAATCGACATGATTTGGTCCCTGGCTTAAATACCAGGTCCACAGTCTGTCTACAGAGACATGTAACAGATACAAACACACCCCCCTTCTGTGTAAAAGCTTTGTTTTGAAATTCAGTGCACTATGAAGAATCCACAGACTGTGATGTCACTATCAGAGCTGAAACAAAAAGTATTGACACTGATTATAATTTTGAAAGTAGTAGAAGATGTAGCCATAGATGGAAGTGTTTTGCTCATTCTGGCCATCTCTAGTATCACATATTGTAAAACAGAAAATGGCTCTGTTATGGTTCTCCCGGTCTTGTTGAACTCAGTATGATGATTCAAGATAAAGCACAGAAAGTTACATAGAGCAGCTTTAAGTCCTGAAGCAGAAGCAGACACAGGAGCAGACAAAAAGTATTGACACTGATTATAATTTTGAAAGTAGTAGAAGATGTAGCCATAGATGGAAGTGTTTTGCTCATTCTGGCCATCTCTAGTATCACATATTGTAAAACAGAAAATGGCTCTGTTATGGTTCTCCCGGTCTTGTTGAACTCAGTATGATGATTCAAGATAAAGCACAGAAAGTTACATAGAGCAGCTTTAAGTCCTGAAGCAGAAGCAGACACAGGAGCAGACAGAGTTTACCTCAGACGCCCACAGTCCACTGCTCCCTGCAATCATCTCTGTCATAAATATAGACCAGACCAGACCAAACCAGAGACTATATGAGAGACTATACGAGAGACCGGACCAGAGACCGGATCAGAGACCGGATCAGAGACAGGATCAGAGACCGGACCAGAGACCGGACCAGAGACCGGACCAGAGACCGGACCAAAGAACAGACCAGGGACCAGATCAGAGACCGGACTGCATAGACCAGATTCTCTGACAACAAGGTCATAAGATGTGCCCAGACTTGTAGTGCAGGACCTGGTTAGTACTCTGATGGGAGAGTCTAAAGTGTGAGTCTAAACTGTTGTCGTGTCTTTAGGCATGACACCCGCATTACAGAGTTTGAGTTTAGTGTGTGAATGAATAATTGGTGGTGGTGAGAGAGGCCGATGGCACGGATTGGCAGCCTCGCTTATGTCTTGTCCAGGGCAGCAGTGACCTAGCCTGGCCTTAGCCATCCGTACACTCCGCTAAATCATCCTCTCCTGCATGTAACGTCTGGGTCTGGTCCCTGTGTTTGTGATTACAATCGGTTGAATTTCGACCGACCAACTAGCGAGCGTGGAAAGCAGGTGTTGTAGTTAGATGTGGGTGACACCAAGAGTTTGCGTCGAACGGGAAGGTTGTAGTTTGGCAATGGCGAAAAATGTGATAGTAAAGTAATCCGGTCTGGTTCTATCAAGAAATTGAAGCAGGAGCAATAGAATCAGAATAATTTTTATTGCCACGTAAGTAACAGGAGGTCACAGACTTGGAAATTGCTTTGGCTCAGTGCAACAGTCAGAAAGAGATAATAAAAATAAGAATAAAAAACACTTCTAAAGAATACATTTTAATTTAAAATAGAGTTACAGTTACTATTTACAATATACAAGTGCACATGGTGCACACAATGTAAGGTGACAGCAGTACAGTGAAGTAAAGTGACGTATGATGGGTAGTAGGAATGTTTTGCAAATGTAATCGCTAGAAAAAATTGTGGCGCCACTCTCCACGGGTTCCGTTAGCGGCAAAGGAGATGACTAGGCTAAATGCTAAATTCTAACGACACACTCGGGCACATTACAAACGTGACGGTAAACTCAGATCCAATCGTTTCAATCTGTAAAAGGAGTTAACCTCTCCCACCTGTAAACGGAGATCAATAGAGCACCTCCAGACCTTAGTACGAAATGTAATTTGTACTATGGTGTGGTACGACCAGGCTAGCAGTGACCCTGTCCAGTAAAAAATGAATGTAAAGTCATTTGGGTACCATTTAGTAATTAGGAATGCATTGATCTTGTTAACTATATATATAAAATAAATTCACAAGCGTTGCATCCCTAGTAGTAATATGTGGAAATAAGAAAAGAAATCTGAATGTTTAAACATGAAATCAACAATATCTCACGTTTCATTATTCCACCGTCGTGTAAATGATCCTTGTCCTTGGTCCTTCTCTACTTTGTATCTACTTGTATCTTCAGTCTTTCATATCTGCATATCCCACACCTTTTTACAAACGTAGCAAACTTTAGAGGACAAGATTTTGAGTCAAGTCTGAAAAATAACCCATCCAATGTATTCCAACCTGTCATGTGGACTCTTAAGCTCTGTCTTGGAAGAAATAGCAAACATTGAAGCGTTCCTGGGGCCTGTTCCTGTCGCAGCTGGATGCTAACCGTCCATTTGCTGCTAAAACACTCCGCACTGTTGGGATAATTCACTTTACGCTTCCTTTAGCACCTGCTTAAAAGTTACTGTTGTGTTGTTGTTAAACCAGGCAGAACCAGGAGCCAAGCAAACGACCAAATGTGGGGTTTTTAAGTCTGAATGTGTAGGCAAAGTGGTGACGGGAGAGGTACTGAGAGATAAGTGATGCTGGTGTAAACAATAAGCTCTAAGGATAAAGATGAATAAAGTTGGAATGCATTCTGTTTAAAGTCATTCTGTTCTGTGCACATTTTTAGACAAATATGATCAGTGAGGGAATTTTAAAAAACAAAACTAATGTAATGTATGTGTGTGTTTGTGTGTGTGTGTGTTAGAGCACTGATATCAACCAGTGACATAAATTCTTTATCAGCTGATTTTTTTGAATATTTTTAGCCATTTTTTTCGTTTTTTTACCTTGTAAGTCTTATTGAAACTATGAAACAACTGAGCTTGTTTGGGTTTCCAGATTAAAGTTTATTTACTTTGCTCGAAGTTAGCAGGCAGTGGCTACAGTGAGGAACTCCGCTGGAAGGTTGACATTAGACTGAGGAGCTGCTGTCAGGTCTCTCTGAAGAAGAGCTGACTGGAATTGCAGAGACAAAACACAAAATTAGAATATCTGTAATTCCACTTAAAACATATCACAGTCAAACATGCAAAGTGACATTTATTAAGACTTTATAAGGTTGATGATTATTAACACATTTATTTATGAACAGTGGTAGAGCGCTCTCTGTGGACCTAAATGTGTTTGTTATTGTTGTATTTCCTGTGTTTGAACTGTTTGATTCTGTGATGGCGACAAGATTATAAAGTCCTCCGAGTAGACTCAAAACATTGAATTGAACTGAATCATTAGCTCACAAAACGTAATTTAACCTAATTTAAAATATAACACAAAATTACAGTGGATTCATTACAGGCTTGGCTGCAATGAATCTTGCAAGTATGAGGCTACGTCACATATCATTTTCACATTACAAGTTAACGACACATTAACGCTGACATATTGACTTTTGAACACTTTTCAGAATTTCCGACTTGCCTCTGTACAGTACTCACAGGGAATACTCCTCTACTATTAGCGCCAGGATGATGTAAATATGTCCTCTCCCCCTGAACTGTCCCTAAGCGCTGGTTTCATTTGAGAGGCTTCCCCGCCACAGTCTCTGCCTCAGCCTCTGTCCCTGCCTCTGCCCCAGCCTCTGCCCCAGCCTCTGCCTCAGCCTCTGTCCCTGCCTCTGCCCCAGCCTCTGCGTCAGCCTCTGCCTCAGCCTTTGCCCCACCCTCTTCCCCTGCCTCTGCCCAGCCTCTGCGTCAGCCTCTGCGTCAGCCTCTGCCTCAGCCTCTGCGTCAGCCTCTGCGTCAGCCTCTGCCTCTGTCCCTGCCTCTGTCCCTGCCTCTGCCCCAGCCTCTGCCCCAGCCTCTGCCCCAGCCTCTGCGTCAGCCTCTGCGTCAGCCTCTGCCTCAGCCTCTGCGTCATCCTCTGCCTCAGCCTCTGCCCCACCCTCTTCCCCTGCCTCTGCCCAGCCTCTGCCTCAGCCTTTGCCTCTGTCCCTGCCTCTGTCCCTGCCTCTGCCTCTGCCCCAGCCTCTTCCCCTGCCTCTGCCCCACTCTCTGTCCCAGCCTCTGTCCCAGCCTCTGCCTCAGCCTCTGCCTCTGCCCCAGCCTTCCTCTGCCCCTGCACTGCCCCTGCTTCTCTCTCTGAACCATCTCTCTCTGGATCCTTTGTCCAGAGTGTGTTTTATGTGCGATTGGACGAGCTCACCTCGGTGTGTGTTCTCCGGCTCAGAGCCGCCACTCGTCGCTGACTCTTCAGGTGAAAATAACTCCAAGGCCTCACTTTCCCACAGCCCTGAGCTCCATTCAGCTTTTCTCCTGCACATTCCAGACAGCTTTGCTCTTCAGCTCAAAGTGAGTGGTTTGTAAAGTGGAGTGGGCATGGAGAATCCACTGGAACGCCGGCCGGAGATAAAGGCCGCTATTTCATTTTTGATCAAGAAAATGAATATAACTGTGTCTGAAAATATGATACAAAGGTAACTAAGGCTGTGTGAGATTTCATAACACTTTTGAGCAACTTTAGTTAAAGTTAAACTCATCATTCTATCAATGTGCAGAAGCCTGTACTTTTCCACTACTTGTTTTGACTATCTCTGCTGGCACTGTGGCAGCTGCTGATTGGAGGTCTCTGTTTCTCCTGAGTATATTACAACTTGCTGTCGTAACATCCCTTGTTCGTGTTGTTCGTGCTGTCTCTACCATTGACAATAAAACATGTCTTCTGTCTGAATGAAAGACACAATCCCAGACTTTGTCATCTTCTTCAGGCCTACGTACAGGACTCTACAAGGACTCTGATTATTTTGACTATGATGTGCACTGTCTCCGTGTGACACGTATGTCTTTCGATGTGTGACCTAACAATGACTATAAAACCATGTCTTGACTTTTGCTCTGTCTGAATCAACTGCCATTTTTGTGAATAAACCAACCAACCAAGCTGGATGCACAGCTGTAACCATTGATATTATATTAGGAGTGGACTGAGAGAGAGCTGACATCACCACAGTGTTGGTCTTAATGAGGATGAAGGGTCAATGTGGTTTCTGGAGTTTGTCCTTGTCGATACAGGAGGGTCTAAGGACACTGACGTTCCAGGACACTCGACATTTAACAAGATTTATGGACTTTATCAACATTTATTGACATTAGTCTCTGCCCCTTATGGACCAATGGCTCTACAGTATGTGTTTTTTGTAAATGCATTTCCTGTGTTTGAACGATTTGATTCTTTGTTGGCGAATCAACGGTTTTGTAAAGTCCTCAGAGATAACTACTGTTGTGATTTAGGGTGATTCAAGAATAAATTGAATTGAGTTGAATACGAGAAGCGATTGAAATCAGGAAGCAGGGCACACAGACGATGTACGGAGTCGAGGGGGCCTATACCTTGCCTCACACTTGGGACGCACTTCTCCAGAGACCACAATTGGTAACAACAGCTGATAAGAGACATGTCACACCATCACGAGTTATCTCTGACAAAGTCCAAACATATCACATAAGCAGTACTAGTTACGCTATTTGTCTTATAAAAAGAACCTCAATAATTTATAATATTTGCTAATTCAGAACCAGATATTGGGTCTTCAGAGTGAGAAGTTTGGGACTCTTGACCAAACCCCCCTCCTCCTCCTCCTTCTTCGACAGCGGTGGAAAAGCCTGTCCTTTGTGGGTCTCGTTTCAGTCCCGGCCTGTAATTAAGAATGGATTTAGGGGAGAGGGGCGTCTTCAGAGGTGGAGGGGGGAGAGGGGCCGGGTCTTTGGGTCTTTGAATCAGGACTGAACCCCCTCCTCGCGGGACAGAGACCTCCTGCGGAGCTGAGGGGTGGTCAGTGTGTGTGGTACTACGGGAAAACTGTGGGAGCCAAGAATCAATCAAGAACTTCTTAAGAACGGAGGAATTTGGATTATTCCAAAGGACACATGTAAAGCAAAAGTCTGTGGATTGAGGTTTCTGATTGTGATTTTTCTGATGAATGTTGAGGCTAGTTTTGCGCTTTAAGAAAATATAGAGAATCTCTTTTAGAGGAGTCCTGGCTCCAGAGAGAGGGGGAGGGAGTGGGGTCAGGAAAGGTGCTATTGTATTGTTTTTAGTGGTATATGGGGAGAACGCAAACTCCAAATAGAAAAGTCTGGAGGTACTCGAGGTAATCGAATCCAGGACCTTCTTGCGGCGATGTGCAAACGTTTTAACCACTGTGCTACCGTTCCGCCAAAGATAATAATCTCTCAATTTGTTATGTTTTAATTGTAGGAGTAGCAGTAAAGTAAGAGGTCTTCATTGAGAAAATCATCAGAAAATGTTGCATGAACACAGAAGGCAAAAAATGAGACTGAGGCAGAGATCTGGACACGTCTGACTTGGCGCTTTAACATGGACAATTAGCATTCTTTCAAGACTAACAACTACAGATATTAAACTAGTCCAAACCAGATGGATATGACTGAGGTTCACAGTGACCACAAAGTCCTGATCTCTTGAATATTAAGTTTTCTGTTTGTCCAAAGTCTGATTTGTGAAGGCCATCGTCCACACAGGGTCACTGGTTTTATGGCAGTATTTTGCGTTTAAATCTTTGGGCTTCTGGGGATTTACAAGACTTTTACTGTTTTTCAGTTTTTTGGGGTAAAGTTTGTCCTTGATGTATGACGTATTTTTCATATAAATGGTGATTACGATTGGTGACCCCATTTTTATAGTTTTAAAGAATAATATTGTTAAACTGACCGAAAAGTGACTGGATTTTTAACAGTGAGACACAATTACAATAATTACAGGCAAATACTGATGTTGTTTTACAGTATAAATAACTAAATAAATTACTTGCTGTGTTGTAATATGTTAAGAATCCCAGTATTATTGAATTGTGGCCCAAAAATCTTTACTACCGAATCCTTACATTTTTGTCAGTTCCCAGCCCTAGCAAATACCGATGATGTTGTTTCATACCGGTAGTATGCTGTACATGAATAGATACAAAGTGTTGGTGATTCATTTGACAAATATCTGCAGCGAGAGTGACTCTATCTGGATCCTGGTGAGTGAGGCTTTACTAACAATGAATCATGGGAAATGTAGTGCCTTAAAACCAAACCGCTTCCAATGATAATTACAAACAGGAGTTAAAGTCATGACCGCTGCAACCAAGGGACAAAATACATGTGTTCTATAAAAAAAATGGCAACAACAAAAATAAAAATCTGTTTCAAATCCACCCAAAACTATAAGTGGATGTGTTTTATTTTGGAATAATCTATTTTTGAAACACAACATTCATCACAGTAAGAAGATTCTGGGTTGTTAGCGGAAAAGTTTTGTCGAAGTTGAAGTTTCAGCCAAGTTACAACACAAACATCACAGACACACACACACACACACACACACCAACATAAACACAATACAATACATTAATACTAACATTCAAAAACACCTAACTCTGGAGAACATACCGTGATACAATCCATGACACCATAACATTGGTATAAGACAGACAAAACACATTGTCAAACACACAGACACACTCACACACACATAGAAACATACAGGCCCAGACACTCTCTGACCCTACACCTCTCTCCCACTACTCCCTGAGTTTTTTCGTGTAGAAGCCTTCGAGGAAAAATAAAACCAATAGATTTGTCTCCAATTGAAATAGAAATGTGAGTTTTATGGAAAGAGCACTCTTGATAACCTGTTCTTTCTCTCTCTCTCTCCACTCTCTCTCTCTCTCTCTCTCTGTCTCTCTCTCTCTCTCCACTCTCTCTCTCTCTCTCTCTCTGTCTCTCTCTCTCTCTCTCTCTCTCTCTCTCTCTCTCTCTCTACTTCCAGCTGCCCTGACCATGGCTGAGGTTCTGGAGGGCTCGGACCCCGGGTCGGTGGACCTCGCTGGGGCAGTGGACTGGCACAAACGCTGCCTGGCTCTGGAGATGCAGCTGCTGCGCTTCAGACTGCAGGCGGGGAAGATCAGGGAGCTGCTGGCAGAGAAGGTGAGCCCCGACTGAAGCTGGGCCAAGGTTATTTGGATAGCACAGTTTATATACTATAGGACAACTCAGACAACTCAGAGTGCTTAATGTTACAATCACACAAGGCATAAATAATCACAGTACATTAAAAAGTCAAGATAAAATCCTTCAGTTTTAACCTGGATTTGAACAGTGTCAGAGAAGAAGCTTGTCTCACATTTTCAGGAAGACTTTTCCGGAATTCAGCTGCATACATTTGAAACGTCACCTCCCCATGTCTAGTCCTGACTCTGGGATCAGCAGAAGGCCAGTCCCTGTGCTCCCCAGAGTGTGAGTTGGTGTGGTGGTTTGAAAGTAAAGCACTATAGGAACCAAGAGAACAATGTCATGAAATCTAATCGTCTAATTGTTCAAAATTAGTTAATGATATATTGTGAAATTGTTCTGATTGTGAAAGTTATACACAATTTTCAAAGCATTTTTTGTCATTTTGTCAAATTTTAAGAGCAGCATCAGACACATTTACATGGAGGCTGAACACAGAGCTGAATGAAGATAGAACATTATACACAATGAATTAAACCTGGGTTATACCTAACTTTTAAAGCTGGGGCACCTAACTTTTAAAGCACAGAATTAGAACTATGTAATAATATCTTTGTCACTAGTTTCTCAACAGTTACCTCTGAATGAAATCCAGAGATACCAAACTGTTTTGAGATATATACCCAATACTAGATTTGTGTTATTTTAATGTGATTTAAAACATAGGTAACCCAGCTTTACTTCCAGATTGGCACCGTGGTGACGTGGTTAGCCTCACAGCAAGTAGGTTCTGGGTTTAAGGCCACCTCCAGGACTGTGTAGAGTTTGCATGTTCTCCCTGCGTCGGCTTAGGTTTCCCCCAGGTGCTCCAGTTTCCCCTACCACTAAAAACATGTACAATAGGAGTAAATGTGAGAGCGAGTGCAGTGTTTCCCACAGGTTTGAAGGCAATGTGTGGTGGTCGGCGGGGGAGGAGGGGGGGGGGAGGAGGGGGGAGGGAGTGGGGTACAGTGGTAGAGGACAATCTTGAGGTCATGAATCCAGTGAAATTAGTCGCACACCTTTTTACAGTAATAAGTTACAGCAGATCAAAAGTGACATGTTTTGACAATTTTTAGGCTATTTTGGACCAAAATGGCTGCTTTAAATCAATATTTCTACAGTAAAAGTTTCTGGTCTTTGGTACAGTGGTAGAGGGCAATCATGAGGTCGTGAATCCAGTGAAATTAGTCGCACACCTTTTTACAGTAAAAAGTTACAGTAGATCAAATGTGACATGTTTTGACCATTTTTAGGCTATTTTGGACCAAAATGGCTACTTTAAATCAATATTTCTCAATATTTCTACAGTAAAAGTGTCTGGTCTTTGGTACAGTGGTAGAGGACAATCTTGAGGTCATGAATCCAGTGAAATTAGTCGCACACCTTTTTACAGTAAAAAGTTACAGTAGATCAAAAGTGACATGTTTTGACTATTTTGGAGGTATTTTGGACCAAAATGGCTACTTTACCTCAATATTTCTCAATATTTCTACAGTAAAAGTTTCTGGTCTTTGGTACAGTGGCAGAGGGCAATAATAAGGTCATGAGTCAAGTGAAATTACTCGCACACCTTATTCCAGTAAATAGTTACAATACTTGAAAATTGCACTAGCGGACCAAATTGTGTACTTTATACATGTAAACAATAGAGTGGCTATCCTCCTGAGGACTCACAATCTGCCGGAGGAATCGTAGGGGGCTGGTGCTATGTGTGCCGGGTGGCATCTCTATAAGGTTTTAATCACAAAAACGTGTCTCCCTGACCCCAGCGCGCTTTCTGTTCGATAAAAATGGGTGACTCCGAACGTTCCGCTGTTACCGTAAGTTCTCAACAAAACGCGCACCGTCTTTTCCCCGATGCGGGCCGCATGTTCATAGAGCTGAAAGATGCGGGCCACTTTACCGCGGTAAATTAATAGACACAGCTGCTTACAGCGATGATCGCTGATGGAGACGGAGACACGCGGTGTGCACGAAGGGGAGGGGCTGTGTGTGTGTAGGTCTCTGTATGTGGGAGAGACGCGTAGCTTGAGTGAGAGTTACGAAGGGCCGCCACATTTTAAACCCCCTCCCCGCTGTCAAATTGACCGCTGCGGCGGCACTAGACGATGCATGTTTTAAATAGCGTAACAAAAAAAAAATATATATAATAATACGAAACGCAATTTGTGGCGGGCGGTCTCTAATCTGTGGCGGTGCGCCACAGATTAGTCTATGTGTGGGAAACACTGGAGTGATGGTCAGGGGTCTGGCCAGTGTCTTGGTCTCTCTATCGAAGCTTGATACTTGTGTCTGGTCTCTCTCTGTCTTGTCTTGCGCTGTGTGGTCTTGGTCCTCGTTCTGTAGCCTGATTCCGTGTGGAGCGGATCCCTCTCTTATTGTGGTCCTCCCTGGGATATTTCAGGTTTTAGAGTTTTAGAGTTGTTCCTTGCCGATACAGGAGGGTCTGTTGGACTGTTGGAGGGTCTAACAAAAAGGCACTGTGGTGATGATCCAGGACACTTTAACATTCTACAAAATGTATGGATATTTTTCAACATTCATGGTTATTGGTCAATCCCCCTAAATCCTCCTATGGACCATTATGTGTTCTCTATTCTTTGTTTGAACTGCGGATTCTCCGAGCTGTGTTGGCGATTTCAACGGTTTTGTTAAGTCCTTTGAGATAATTACTGTTTTGATTTAGGGCTATACAAGAATGAATTGAATTGAATTGAATCCAATGTTCTTTATGTGTATTTTTAATGCAGCAGCCTGTGAGTCCAAGACAAATATTAATAATTTTTGATTCTTGAATATATGTTATAATGAGCCGCCTGTGAAGCCAACTTTTGTTTAGTTGCTGGAGCAGGAGGAAGTGATTAAGAGTGTGATTCAGTCCAAACCATCAACAGGTGAACCATGTGTGTTTACGAGGAGGAGACAGCTCTGTAAACGTCCACTCACTCTGCGTCACACACACAACTATTCAGATTTATATTTTCAGAGGATTTAAGTGGAGCGAGAAACCACAAGGTGTAGAGCCGTAATGTTACACCATTTGGCTCTCCGGTTTCTCTCTCTGGTCTCTCTGATCTCTGGTCTCTCTCTGGTCTCTCTCTGGTCTCGGTTCTTTCTCACTCTGATCTCTCTCTGGTCCGTTTCTGGTCTCTCTGATCTCTGGTCTCTTTCTGGTCTCTCTGTGGCCTCTCTCTGGTCTCTTTCTGGTCTCTCTCTGGTCTCTCTAGTCTCGGTTCTTTCTCTCTCTGGTCTCTCTGATCTCTGGTCTCTCTCTGGTCTCTCTGGTCTCTGTTCTCTCTCACTCTGATCTCTCTCTGGTCCCGTTCTGGTCTCTCTCTGGTCCCTCTCTGGTCTCCCCATAACATGAAAAAACATACAAAGTGAACACAAAATGAAACATAATTTTGTTATTTAAAAAAGTAGGCCCATCCCAGAGTGGATTTAAGGCAAATGAGGAACCCTAGAATAACCACTTCTCTCATGTCTGTTCTTCTTCTCCAACATTTGAAAGGGTTAGTGTTGGGATTAGGGTGGACTGTGTGTGTTTACGAGGTTGAGACGGCTCTGTAAACGTCCTCTCACTCTGCGTCACACAGATTTATACCCGCTGAATATTTGAGAGGATTTAAGTGGAAGAGAAACCACAAGGTGTAGAATCGTAAAGCTACACCATGTGGCACAAGCCTGTCGTAAAAAAAAAAACTGCATGTTTGGGCATCGAAGGAAAGATAAGATCGAAGCTAAAGTTAAGGAGGATGTTAAGATTTAGATTAAGATTAAGATTGAGTGATCCTTTATTCGTCCCACTGTGGGGAAATTTCACTGTAGTAGGATCAAGAACCATTTCAATCTGAAGAGACCAAAGACACAATTAATACAATAAAATTATTTATTTGTTTGGCGCGTTGACCCCGGCAGTGACACTTGCAGCAATGAGATCGATTGCAGCTGAAGATGATCTCAGATCCCCCGGGGTCAATCACTGGTGGTGGCTAGAGTATGGTGTGAATGGGGCGTAGGCGGAGCAGGAGCCGGAGTGGGAGCCTAGAGCGGGAGCCAGAGCGGGAGCCAAGAGCCAGAGGGGGTGCTAGGGAGGTGGTGGGTGTTTAAGAGCCTCAGGAAGTGGCTGCCTTTTAAACTGCCTGCTTTGCTCTGAGAGGGTTGGCAGGAGGCTGGCCTGGCTGTGTGATTGGCTGAGGCTCGAGGCTGGCAGGCACTCGGTCTTTCAGTCTGAACCTGCGCATTCAGCTTCATTTCTGTTTCTCTCCATGGCCTTGTACCAAAGTCTGTGACATGTTAGTGCCGTATGAACCAACGTTACATTTTTCCTGAAAAGTCTTCCTGAAAATGTGAGACAGACTTCTTCTCTGACAATGTTCAAATCCAGGTTAAAAACAGTTCTGTTTAGCTGTGGGACTGTATTCTTACTATTTTTAATGTACTGTGATAATTTATTTTAATATCTTGTGTGATTGTTTCTGTGATTTGTTTTAATATTTTATGAGATTGTTTCTTGTTTCGTTCAGCACTCTGAGTTGCCTTGTGTATGAAATGTGCTACAAAACACTTAAGAACACCTAGTTTGTTTTGACTTCTTCCCTATGGTGAAAAGCTAACATGGTTCTAAACAACACTTCCGCCTTTCCCACTGTAGGTCCAGGTTCAGACACAGCAGTTCAGACAGGCCTTGACCAGGAGTGGATTTTGCTGAAATTGTCACCTTTTTTAATGTTTTTTTTTTGGAGGCCCAATCCCAGGGTTCACTCTCTCAGTTAAACTGTGTGAGGCGGAGACGGCTCTGTAAATGTCCACTCAATCTGCGTCACACACACAACTATTCAGATTTTTGCTTTTAGAGGATTTTAGTTGATCAAGAAACCACAAGGGTCTCTGATCTCTCTCTTTCTCTGGTCTTTCTGGTGCCTCTGGTCTCT